GAGATATTTACAAAAAAGTCGTGTATAACAACTTATGCGACAACCTAATATTTCTATCAGGCATCTCATACTTTCGATTAACCTCGGCCTCTGTAGCGTAACAGCGAAATTCGCCCAGTTTGATTACCTTTACCGAGACTTCAATTAGTTGGCGCAAGAGGGCTGGATTTCAATTTAAGTTGGCATCTTGCACAAAGTCAATTTATAGCACAACGCTTCACGCTTACTCTGATTAATTTTATTATCGCATTTAATCAGGGAAAGCTCTTTATTGAGGCCTAGAGGGTAGAAAATGGGTGAAACGGTCCGCTCATTCCGAAGTTTCGAGAAGATGTGCATACGACATAGACGTATAATAGATAGTTGTTGTCTGAACTCCAGAACGCGATCCTATTTGATAGCTGGAGAGGGCAATCGCGTTTGGCCGCTGGGTGAGAATTTCTTTGTTTAATGACTTTTCTCATCCCAGAGATGCCTACCTGATTTGAACGCGGCCGTGCTTCAGTGAGATATTGGCTTTTTGAAAGAGTTGTAATCATGTCGTCATCCAGTAAAGGAGAGGATGACAGTTGTCTCGGAAGGGAATGCCCCACGGAAACGCATTGTCCGTTTTCTTTAAACGAAGCACAAAGCCACGCCCTCCCCATCTTCGAGGTATTAAGTGTAAAGACACGCTGAAAAATATCAGCTGACGTTGCAAAAAAAGATTGAAGCCGTTTGCGAACTTGAATGAAAAATGATGCGTGAAACATACTCAAGGGAGTAAAAATCGCTACCCACTTGTTCCACTTTTTATCTTTCGAAAAGCAATTGTCTACCCACGCTTCAACTATTCCCTAATTTCTGGTCTATTCCGGGTCAACTCAGCAAATTGGTGTTTCGTAAAAACTTTAAGTGCCTTACACGGTGATAGCATTCGAAACCTGCCCAATGATGTGTGCTAGTGCTACGTATTTGCACCCTGAATATTGAGAAAACATTTGTTTTTCGTGAAAAATTAAACCTAATAATTGACAAGATTAGAAGTCCCTTTCCGCAAGGGTTCAAAAACTCCCAAGAGCTTCTTATGAGTTTTTCCCAAAAGCTTTTTGTAAATTTCCCGCGACATTTCGGTGCTTTGCGTTCCACAAGGGAAGTGATGGTGCGATATCTCATTAATTTGGGTTTAATTAACCGATTACCCCAATCAATGAACTGCCCTACTTCGAAAATCGAAAGGGTAACCCACCTACGTCGTACTTTTGGGAGCAAGTAGTTGGAAGTTGTGTTTAGTTACTTCTGTGTAAGACTGAGGCACAAATTGTTGCAGAAGAAAAAGGCAGTAAAACCAAGCGATTAAAGACAGTGGGCATGATAATTTCGCTCTTGGCTGAGAACGGAAGTAGAGAAGCTAAATAGCCGGCCCAAAGTGCAAGCAAAAACGAACTTAATCGTTCCCAGTCCCTTTAATGACCTATTCTTCAGTCTCGTCTGGGGTTTGAATAAAACAAAAGAAATTCAAATTCAAGTACTAGTTGCAATGAAATCTCGCAGCATACAGGAAATTCTTTTTGTTACTCGAAGCAATTTGCCTTTTCAGAAGAAATGCTAACGGATAGAAAAAAATAAAATATCATTACAGCTCATTCACTCCTGAGGAATTCCTCGTGGTTGCGGTCATTTGTGGGCGCATGGTTGCTGGGGGAGCGTTCAGAAAGTCAAGTCACGGTGAATTGCTTTGAGCGCGCCCCGCCTTGCAAGGGGCTCTGTACCCTTTTACTATTTCACAGTGACCCTAATTACGTAATCAAACCATCGTGCCTCTTGCTTTTGAAAAAATGGCTACTATTCATGGGCTGGAAACAGCTTTTCGTCATCCCGAATCAGTAATCCCGTCAACCCATCCGACTAAGGGATGCTGGGCCCACACGGAGCCAAATCTCATTATAAAGCAATCGACTGCGACGTCTAACTTTCTTTACCCTGGATTCTCCACTTTTTCTTGGCTTTTCTGAGACCGCAAAATGAATCTCATCTCCTTATTCTATGGTTGGACCTTTGAGCATTGACTGCTTTAGAGAAGCGCTCGATGTCCCACACGATCTCCCCACTCCCTTTTGGTTACATCTGTTACTTTTGGAAGCACCAAGGATGTCTACCAGCTTATGCAGAGCGTTCCCGCTATGGTTTCTCGTGTGTTACTAGGCTTCATAAAGCAGCCGGGCCCTACAACTCCAGTATGGCGCTAGACGACAACAATGAAAAGTTTCGCTTCTTTTCAGAGGAGAACTGGATTGTACGGGCGAGATGTGTAAGGAAAGTGCGACTCCTGCAATCATGTCATTCCCGCATTGGTGAGAACTAGACTAGAAGACCGTAGACTAGAAGGGTTAAAAGCAAGTGGCACGGTAAATTGCCAAGGTGTACGATACGTCTATACGAAAGAATATTGGGCACTATTCAACTATTACTACCCCAGTTTTGCGAAAACAGGCCGGATCTTGATCGACTTTTTTCTACGGGGCGGATTTGGCTGAAATTTGGGTTAGGGGTAATTCGACCTCCTGAACACGAATATCACATCCACTTGGCCTGAAAGTGCCTGGCGCCCGCGCCATAGGCGCCAGTGATTTGGGGCATTTTGGCGCGATGATAATCGTGCAGAGGTTGAACTACTCCTGGGTACAAGTTTTCAGCGAATTCAGGGTATCTTTGGCGCCGGCGCCTGTGGCGCGGGCGCCAGGCAGTTTCGGGAGAGAGCGGATGTGATATTCGTGTTCAGGAGGTCGAATTACGATCCGGCCCGTTTTCGAAAAATTGGGGTAGTAATAGTTGAATGGTGCTGAATATTGTGCCCTAAGCTAGCGGCGTGGCGCCTTTCCCAACCAGCAGCACCTTTCTAGAACCTAATCAAGGTGAAACATACCGAGCGAGACCCCCACCGCACTCGCCCGCCCACAAATGGCCGGACAGTTAATTCGAAGCTAGACTCTTAACGCTCCATTTAGGAAGTACAGTTGGTACGAAACGTTGCTCAATGGACACACGTGTAATCGTAGGTATAAAAGCAGCTGTTGTTATTCCCAATGCCAGCGGGGAACTCGTTCAAAAATACTCGTCCAGTGCCATACAGAACAAAAGGTTTTTGCAGGTTTTTCGCCGTTTAACTTCGCATTTTCCTCATTTTTCCCCCACTCACTCCTGCTACTATTTTTGAGCAAGTAGTAATTTATCGTGCTTTGTGCATAGGCCTTTGGGACAGTTCGAGACGAATTAGGGTGTACTGGCAAGCAGGAACATGGAAAAGCAGAATGAATTTCCGCCTCAACTTTTCAGTAAAAGAGGAAAAATCCATGAAAGACGAAGCTTAGAAGAAGTGTAGTTTTCCCAATGGAGGCGGACGGATAGAGCTTCATCATCGTGTCATTGTTTAAACTCATAAATATGTTGTTAGATAAACAGCCTTGCGATGCAACATGATAGAAAAACATCACATCTTTTCCGCTATACCCCCACGCTAAATTCACACATAATTTCATATAATAATGCATAAGAAATTTAACAATATCAATGAATTCATAACGATGGGAAAAGTATTTCTTCTTTTTCATGAGGACGACGAACGTATTTGAACAAACAGAAAGCATGGGAATGCTGCTGGGAACGTTCAGCATATATGAACATTTGTTAAATTTTGCCCTTGAGTCCAGTCTTTGTAGAATTAAAATTTCCACATTAAGACGGTCCCACGAAAAAGACTACAGAACGATGAAGGAAATTAGACATCACAATCATAACAAAGGACGAAACGCCCAGCCTGCTGTCCTACACGCAGAATCGGTGCTACCACTGGGCAAAGGCTAACATGAACTACACTCTGTATCCAGGAGACAGAAGGGTCGCAACTGCGTACTTGATGAACCGCGCGGCGGCAGCTTTGGAAAAATTGGTGGTTTCTGGCGATGAAATGATTCCGCTATTTGCATTTGAAACCTATGTAATGACCCTCAACTAATGAAACTGAAGCCTCACAAGGTCGAGTAATACCAGGAAGAAGCAGAGATCTTCCATATCGCTATTGCTGTTATGAGCAAAGCTGAGCCCACAATTGCGAACCCTCTCACCGTGGGATACAGAACGTGCTACAGCATTGCAAAAAAAAATGATAGTACGAAAGTTGCGTTTTCTACTAAACTGTAGTAGTTCTATATTGAGTCAATGAAAGGTTAAGTAGTCAGCGGGAAAGCAACGTACTCACTGGTCTGGTTGCCAATGGATAGAGTTGAGCCCATGGCACTGACCCCAAAGCGCTCAAGGGACTCCACAAGGCCCCTTTATACGATCCCATTATTTTTCAATGCGAGAATCAGTTCATTCTTGCTGATGGGGCTCATCCCACTGAATAGCGCTTCAAGGTTCCCACGGATACCAGGTGGCGTTATCATGCTGAGTTTCGGGCAGGACTACATGCCCATTTCTGATTTGAAGTTGTGCCAAACGCATGCCGATTTTGAGGAGAGGATTTTCAGTGTAGTCTCCTCAAATAGGATTTTTGAGGAATTAATGTGAGGAGTGCTTTCTCATTGGAGCTCCCTACTCGTTCTCGTAACTGAATGTCATCCGATAGAAAGTAACTTCAGTGAGAAGCGTACTCCCAAACTATCCCATTGCACATCCCTATTAGTCATCGCCCTTTTATGTAATAAGGGAGCTTCGTGTGCAGTGAACTTATAGCAGCCTACTTTGTGAGCAGAGATGACCCTCAATCCTACTTCACTGGGATATTTGCGTGTTCTCAGGGTACTTCAGAAATTTCCACAACTTTATTTATTCAAACGAAACAAAATATGGGTCGATTATACATTTTACTATATTTAATTGAACACGCTGGATTAAATTCGAAGAAAACGTTGCTGAGGGCGATTCAGTATGGGAGGCCTCTAGATTCTGCGAGAGCAGAGACCCAGGAGATCATGGAAATTTTCCGATGAAGACCACCAGATGGTTGGGTCTGAGGAAAAGAATGATTCAACTGCTTTGTTCAGGTGTTTCGCAACTGCGAATTGAGTCATTTCACTTGGCGGGCAAATGAATTCATGACTCTTTGGAACCAAGAATTGCACCTTTGGAACCCACCCGGGAACACAGTGGGTGGTAAACATGTGGGCATTTACTTACACAGTGTCCTCGAAATGCAGCCTGAATTTTCGTCGCCGCTTCGTCAAGAGGGCTAGAACAACGCTCCACATGATCATCATTGTTGTACTGAAAAAAATCAAATACTCATGAAAACAATAAGTATCACATTACTTTAGTTGTTTTAATTATGTAGCAAAAGTGTGAGAACATCAATAGAACGAAAATTACTAATAAAGTCAACAATGACAAATAAAAATAGTGGAAAGAAAAATGTGTTTTGGAAGATATGATAGCTATGTAATCAGTCGGGGCCGTGCCAAGAGGAGCAGGATGTACCCGCCTCCGGCTCACCTTTCTACCAATAATGATCAGTTAGTGTTCGCTGTTTAGCAACAAATCAACCAATAGTGAGAACGCAGCGGCTGGGCTTACCATATCTCTTGACACCGTGCCGCCTCATTGTTACGATATCAACTGTACATGCTGGGTCAACGCGGAGAAAGAGTTGCTGAAAATGGTGTCATGTACGCGACATTCACACCAGGATCTATGATTTCACGTGGAAGTATGCGTGTCGAGTAAACTATATAGCTAAGAAAAACTTTGCGAGGTTCCGCGCGTTGACGCGGATCTCCGAAAACACGCTTCAAATTTGATAATTAAAATAGTTCTCGAAACTGAGTGCTGTATAAGAGGAGGGACGGACAAGACGGTCGTGGTTTGTCGCGTCGTCGCGCGCGGCGTATGGTGCGAAATGTCTCTGGTCTGTAGAGTGGAGCAGCGAAACTCATATGATTTAAGCGAAGCAAGATTCCATGATGGGCGATACAAAATGTTCCCGTCCCCCACTGAATTTCAAATTGCCAAACAAGACAACGCGCCTGCTTGGGGCGACGTCGCTCGCCACGCCTACTAGCCCATCATATTACGATCGTCTTGTCACATACCTGTCACAGAAACTTGTCATAAACAAGTAGTCAAGCTTAAAAACGTACTCGTCTTTGAAGATCAGTGCGGAACATTTCATAAGCTACTGGATCACAAATAATGTCAGTATTGGGATTGCCTGTAATAATGCTTCAATTAGTCAAATCAGTAATCAATCAGGTATAAAGAACATAAGTCTTATTACAGCACATCAACATTTAGGGTTTGTCACGGAACTTACTAATAGCGTTCAACGCCTTTTGATGATTTATGAATACTGTCAAGGAGGTGTGAATAATGAGTTCTACTTCTGAAGAATCCAAAACTGTGGAGTATACTGCACTAAAAACTATTAGGTTTGGGGAGGGGGGGGGTTTGGTTGTAGAATGTTTGCGGAAGTGCCAACCGGTTTGCTAATACTAGCAGCTTGAAAGGCACATTTGGCGATGGTAAATCGCAGGTTACAGGGTGAGAAATGAAAGCGCACATACTGGTTGACTTCCCGTGAAGAAAAAAAGCAGAAGAGATGTAGTGGAAAACACGCTAAACAAGGCCCTCCTCATTTCGGTTGGTTCTAAAAAGGAGCTGAGAATTTGCCTACTAGACCTCTTAAAAATGAACCCGATAAAGGAGCGAAATTAGTGCAATCAGATTGACTAGTAGCACTTCAAAGCCGGTGAATGATTTAATTTTTGTCCATTTTGAATTCCAATTTATTTAACTTGTAGACGGTAGCAGTGCAAGGGAGCTGGCGCGGCTTACCATGAACACGGCAGTGAATCGAACCTCGGCCTGACTCAAGGTCTGCAAAATCTTTCACCACTTCAGGGTCAGCTGGGTTGTCCCAGACTTTCTTTGAGGACGAAACCACTGCCTCCGGCTCCAACGAGCCATTGTAAAGGCCATATCGCGTTCGAAATGTCGTCAGGATTGTGAAGGGAAGCAGAGTGCGTGGTGCATCCCAAGAAGGGATTGATCAGAGCCGGGAACGTTTCTGTACATTTAAGATAATTATGACAGAGCGAAAGGATATACCAAGTACATTTGATCTGATTATGTTTATGAAAGGGTTGCACTATGAGGACTCTAACTAGTTTAGCATATGAAAACATAGCAATGGGTTTTTACAGAAAGCCCTTGAATCGGAACAAAAATTAAAATGCACAGAAAAAAATCAGGCTATCAGCCATCAAGAGCTTTCTCGCAGCGCTTCGGACGCAGAATAACTCTTAGCTGACGGGTTAAACTCAGTTGAAGACTTAGTACTTCTGAAATGCTAAATGCCACGTTCATAGAACGATCATCCACTTCATTCCAAGAATATCGATTTACCAGAAAAGGCCGATAACAAAACAAAAAAATGAAGCACTAAAAACATGTTTTCGTTATTTCAACGCCGAGATGGAAGCCAAGCATGGCGGCATGTGCATGTAATCGCAGCGGACCTGGTAATTTAGTCAGGAACTAGTTGATCTTTAGTCGCGCTGACGAAACCACTTTTGCATAATCTCAAAGTAAGAGATTACGTGAATGAGTAATGTCACTAGTCACGTCACCTAGAGACCGAAAGTGCTCCGCATAGTCCGAAAGGCTTTGGGTCGTAGTACGGGAAGTAGTTGGGCAGAGTTCGCAGTAGAACGGCCGGACCGCGCCAGAGATCGTTTTCGTTACAAATCGATCGATATTCGTACAGCGCAGTGGAAGATTTCAAATAAGGACACTCCAGACGATGAAATTTTTGACTCATTTCCCACTCTGAGAAAGTTTGCAGTACACCGACCGTGAGGAACATCGTTTTCATGACAGATCGATATTCGTACACGCACAGTGAAGGCTTTTGTTTCAGGGCACTCCACAAGATTTGAACTAATTTCTTACTCTGAGGAAGTTTGTAGTACAACACTAGGACTATGAGGAACATCGATACGTACATGTCAATTGTACAACAGATCGATATTCGTACACGCACAGTAGAAGTTTTTATATAATGGCGCTTAAACAATGGAATTTTCAACTCATTCCCCACTCTAAAAAAGTTTGTAGTGCAACAGTGGACCGTGAGGAATATCCCTTTCATGACGGATCGATACTTGCACACGGACAGTGGAAGCTTTTATGTAAAGGAGTTTCGAAAGATTAAAATTTCGCTCACTTCTCACTCAAAAAAATGTAGTTGAAGGGTAGAATCGTGCCCAGAATAGTTTGCATAATAGATTGATATTCGTGCAAACATAATAAGAACTTTTATGAAAAGGTCCTTAGGAAGAAGAAACTCCCAAGTCTTTCCCACTCGTATAAATAATAAAAACATACTTTTTCTGTGGTGTTGTAGTTCCTCAAAGAACAGCTGAGCGAATCGTATGATATCTTTTGGCTGTGATCGCAATGTCTCTCGTGCCAATGCTTCCAACAATGGTCGCAGACCGTCAGGTACTTTGTACCGCAAGTTGACATCCATCCCTTCAAATAAAAAAAACATAAAAAGCAGAAAAAAAATCCAAAAAAATGCTATGCGAAGGAGTATTGAGACGAGAGTGGCAGATTCCTCCACTAGAAGAAGTTTCTGTCGATTCTAAGAATTTGTAGCGACTCTAAGAAAGCGAAAACGACTTCCGATGAATATTAATATGATTTTCAGTAATGCTAATGGAGCATGACTGCGAAAATTCAAAGAGAAACGGAAATGCGATGTGAGGGGAGGTTGGAAGCAACGAGACAGAAATAACAAGCATGGGATGCTTGAAGCTTGAGGGTGGTGTTTATTCCTATCCTGTAACAAGGTGCTCCAAGTGCAGAGCGAAAGCCTGCCACGTATGGGATCAACACTCGATTCCCAGCTGGTACTAGAAATTATTGCAGATGAGGATGATTTATCCCTTCTCAAACTGGTGATACGGAGTTCAACGGTGTGCTGATGAGACAGAGCAAATGGAATCTAGGTTTTGGCTGTGCACAAAAGGGTAACCTGCTCACCCACCCCCGTAGTACAACACCTCTTTGCTCAACAGATAGGATATTTTTACAGGAATATCCCATGTACAACGGAATGATGCCCCCCCCATCTACATTCCTCCCTGGGATTTGAGCCGAAAAACATCCCTAGCGACGTTGACAGGATTTCTATATAAGTAAGGTTTCTTGGAGACTGTCGTCACTACTTATACATTGCATCTGTGCTAATAGCCTAGCCACTACCAAATCAGGTTCAAAGTTTTGAAACACTAGCAAAACAAAGAAAACTTCACCAGAATTCGTTTTTGAACGCAACTGAGCGATGTTTTGGCCTTGCAGATTCACCTATATGCAATTTTTAATCCATGTTTGTGCAGTGCTGACTGGTACAGTGAAAGTGACGTCACTTACCTGGAGCTCGTTCCATTCGAAACTGGGATTGCCCTGGACTTAGCCCAGCCAGTAGTTTCATCCAGGGTCCACCATCAAGGTGTCTGAAACGGTAGTGTGGTGTCTGTAGGACTACTCCTTCCCCTTCCTCCTTAGAGGGATCGTCTCGGTGGGAAAGGTAGATACCTCCGACCATCCATTGAAACTGGTAGCTATTGCTGTTTTGGCCAGCCACCGAAACAAATCAGGAGGTTTTAGTAGTACAGCTCAGACGGGGGACATAAACAATTAGAAGCCACTTTCCTCTGGGAGGAGTAACACAAAGATCTGCAAGGCAAGTGGCATCATTAATTCGATCCAGTCGTACCCGAGAGTCGTAAATGTTCGAAGTGCAATCAGAATAGGTGACGCATTCCTGATCTCAGCCAACGCCGGAAGGTTTACCTTGTTCTCTTTATTATCAGTGTTTTCGGGGCGGAGGTGGTGTAGTGGCAAGTGGCACGCTTGCCACGAGCACGGTCCGGGGATGAAATTGGATCAGCTCCAGCTCAGGCCAACTAAGCCTTTTCCTCTTCTCCCCCAACCCCCCCCCCGGTAACGGTGAACTGGTGACCGATTCGTATGAGAAGATAAAACAGCGACTTGGACATCGGCTAGCCCTCTGTATAGGCCACATCGCATTCGATAAGCCACTACGATTCTGAGAAGCAGAATAAGTGGCGCAACCCTGAAATTAGCCGACGCTGGAATCTTTATCCTTATGATTACCACAATGTTCTCGCATTCGTCTTTCTGTCTGTGGACGACCGCATGGGCGGGGCTTATAATGTAGGCGGGGTCCCTGACGAGCAGTTGGTCTATTCTGTTGCTAGTCGTCCACTGGGGAGATTTTACAAGGTGAACTGTTCTATGTGAAAGGTGTGCTCATCTGGGGAGCTCGAGTTCAATTCAGCAGATTTTTAGTGAAATCTGCCGCGAAGGATAGTTTCAGACGGACGGAGTTTCAGAGGGATGTTCCGTATGTCACCAAAAGGATCTAATGGGGCTTTCATCAGAACAGATCAGAAATTTCCAGTGATCACATTACTGATAAAGTGCCAACTCATAGGCATATATTTGACAACTACTATTAAAAATCCTAGTCTAGTAACCTAAAGCTGTAGGTAGCGTACTAAATCATTGAAAAAGCCTACTGTTACAAAAAAGATGATAAAATCATAATTATTAATCAGGACGACAAGATACTCATTGAGATTATAATTGAAGGAATTATGAGATTCAACAATTACTGGAAATTACTGAAGTTGTCGTGGAACGTGCAAAACGCGCAGAATGTTAAGTATTCAACATTTCACAGCGAAAGAATGGATTCATAGCAAATTATGGATGAGCAAATAAGAGAGTGCACACAAACTGTCACCACCACACGTCGCCCGCCCGTGCGTGTCAACAGACTCAAAAAGTGTGATATATGAACTACTTTACACCTATGGTGCCTCGGCTATGGGCTCGGTAAAGTAACATATGCTGACATTCACACCTGGACCAACATCAAGCACAAAGTGACCTTGTTAAAGTGTTCTTCGTGCAATTTGTAAGGTCCATGAAGAAGAGGCAGACAAAACAAAATTGAATTTTCTCCACACATCGGCGTGATACTGAATAGCAGGGAAGTGGGAGAGATATCCCCCCCCCCGGGAAGCCCATACTAGCTCTTCTTCCGAAAAAGCTCTGTACTGTCTACTCTGTACAGCACATGAGAGCTCGTGACACTACTTTTTACTGCCTTGCTTTAATTGTCGAAATACAAACTTGGTTCACTTCTCGGAATGAATTGTCGGGAAAGGTTCCCACGAGAAACTTGTTCCCTGGCCCCTGAAGACGAAAATCACATCGGCTTGACGCGAAAACGCATAGTATCCGCTTCACATGCATCAGGCCAATTTTGGCGCGGGCGCACATGATGCGCCCTTCAGACTTTTTTGATCCATGCGGGAAGGATATTCCTATTCCGAAACTGCCGTTATGAATGAGATCTCAGCGAGTTTGAAGACTCAAAGACAAAATTCGCAATTGCATAGTGTGGACAGTGGCGTTTAATTACAAACCTATAGTCGTTATGTGACCTTCCAGGAAGGAAATAGCCAAAAGAAATTGTGGAGAATATCGAACAGGATAATTGGCAGCCTCAGTATGCCGGCAAAGCGATATCCTGCCGCCCTTGATTCGTTAAAGGCAGTTGACACGATAAATCCCAGCATGCGCTGCATAGTGCCTTTCCCAAGGGAGGTGCCCTTATAAGGGCCCTATCAAGCCACAACATACCGACCCAAACGCCCGCCACGCCCCCGCCCACAAATGGACGACCGTTCCTGACGCTCTAATCGATTCATTTGCTAAGCAAATTATGAAGCGAAGGGATTGGTATGAAGCGGCCGTGATGCTGCATGGATATATGAGTACACATATGCAGCCGTACCTTCGGTAGCGGTTATTGGCAAGATGCCTACGGGAAACTCGTCCAAAATTGATTAACATTGAGAACGGAGGCTCTTTTTCGCAGGATTTTGACCGTTTCACTCCGTTCCATTTCCCCCACTATATAATGCCCTACTAGCATTTTAGACCAAGCAACAAATCATCGTGCCAACTGCCTTTAATCGTTGATTCGCTTCATCTATGTAATGCTAGTTCAATCTAATAGTGGAAATAGAAAAGAAAAACGGTGTAAAAATGCTGAACTTGTGACGAAGAATAGCCTTTGAATTTTGGTGGGCGGGGCAACTAGGAAGGCGTCAGAACTGCCACATATGAGGGAAGCAGCGCCCTCATTTCTTACCGTGAGGCAGCGGAAGTGTAACAGTACTAGAGAGCGTGCCAGAATAGTTACCACATATTGTGAAAAACGGGGTACATGGAATGTCCTTTTGATTCTGGCCTTACAGGTTGGCTTTTTTATGCAAATTCAAAATTAAAATTCAAAATTCACAATCATAGCTTGCCAGAACGTCGTGGTTCTCAAGGCATTTCACTGCAGCAAGACGTAAGCGATCTCGTTCGAATACCAATTTCTGCTCAATGACTCAGTGAAGAAAAAAAAGTGGAGAAAGCCATCGATCCCCCCCCCCAACTTCTCATTTTCGCGGTTAGTCCTGAGAATTCGGAACGTGGGAGAAGAGAGCCTGAAACACTGAGTAATTGGAAGAGAGTTCAGGCAACGAAGATAAGAGTAAACAGACGGACGAGACCGTTAGTGCTCAGGAAGGGTGTTCAGTGGGCGTATTCCATTTCAGGGGGCGGAGACAGCTTTTTGTCGCAAGCTCCAGGCAATATTAATACGCAGTTGCAAATAGCGAAGATGGACAGTTCCAGTGGTAGAGGCGGCCATCCTATATACGGGATCGATTGTATTTTTCGAGGTAATGATGAGCTCCGCCTTCAAGCTCCTCATTATCTAGAGAGCCGGCATTTACTCCTTTGGATAACAAATGAGTGAGAGCGTAAAATTTGAAAGGGCAGGCTGCTTCGATCCAGCAAAAAAAGAGTTCGAAAACGAGAGGTTTCCATGGCACCCTCTGCTAGGCTATGTTTGGATTCACTAACTACACTCTGAACTGATTTGCAGTCACGTTCCTTATTGAGAACTTACACCAAAAACGCGTTCTTTCGCCTAAAAAACATGTCTTACGCAGAACTCATGCATGATCTAGTCCGGCCACCATCGGTCCATTCATGTGTGAATAAATAGCGCGAAAGAGGCGCGTCAAATGCGTTATAGCTGAAAAGGGTTACTGCCTTTCGACTGTTAAATCTCCTGCAAAGCGCTGCACTTTTCTGACACAAGAAACCCTCCATGGGGCTTATCAACAGCATTATAAAAACATTTTATAATTAAATGTTTTTTGATGCAAATTTGGATGAAGTCAGATGCTCGAATTTCCAACAGGACAGTCATAAAGGACATTTACCAGTAGCAAGACCAAGGAGCTGGCCTTGCTGACCAAAACGTTCCTAGTTGAGTTGCGCCTTCTTAACTGCTTTCGTCAGTGACAAAGACGTCAACAGGATTGGAGTAAATCCTATTAGTACCGGATTTGAAACCCCTTTGCAGGACGAGGAGAAAATATCTATCGAACAACGCAAACATATCGATTCAAACGACCAGTATAGCGCTGTTACATGTGAACTTGGGCAGGTTCAGGAGCCTTTTGGTAATTTTTCACGAGAAGGAACCAGAGTATAGTTGCAAATCTGGAGGCCGGCCATCTGGTATACCAGTTAGTTCGCCACAACAAGGAAAAGTTCACAAAAGAACACTGAAATGGAAGTTCCGCGATTGCACTGAATGGGTAGAGGGGTCCAAACATATAGTTGCAGGTGCTCGCGAACTTATAAGTGAAGAGGAATACAGGAGAATCCGTTGAGAGATCCTAGATAAGATCCGCCCGACTGTGATGCGGTGAATGGAGACGCAGAGACGCTCTCTGCGCAAAGGAAAAAGCGAAAATCACGCACTGCGCACAGTAGGGCGAAAAAAAAACCATCGCAAACTGCGGTATAGTCATGATCCCAAAGAAAGATAGGCAATCTAAAGCGGCGTGAGTTGGATCGCAGTAAGAAGAGCGCTTTTTGCCAATTGTTGCGGACTCAGGATGGCACCACTGACAGACTGCCTTGGCAGCCATCCAATCCACTACCCATAGCACGCCCAATCGTTCGCAGGGATCATGACTGTAGTAGTGCTTTGGTGGGTATCTATACTTGGTCTTGGCAGGGTTTCAGGCCAGCGCAAGCCCCTGGTTCTTTTACCAAGCGCTCATAGTAGCTCAGTGGTACACTATGTGCGACTGCAAGCGTTCTGTGAAAGCTGAGTCCTTTTAGAGGCATGCGTAGCACTGTGGTCAAAATGGTTGTCGCACTATCTGTAATGCACTCGAATCCGCCTTGGAAAGTCCGCCTTCGCACCATCTGAGACTGATTTATGGGCTAAGTGACACCAGTCTGAAGAGGAAGGATAAAAACACTGAAATGAGCGTGGGTTAGCCCCCGCAACGCATTGTGTATGCATTCAAATGCCTAAGCGATTCCAGACGGAAGTCGCGCCGGCTTAAAAAAGTTAATTGACATAGATACATAAATCTTTGCTTTATTTTGAGCAGACGAATTAATAAAAAATAGGAAAATCTTCATTGAAAAATCG